GACGCGGGCATTGCAGAACGAAGGGGGGGAGGAATAATGGCCCACCGCCACACCTTCAACCAGCTTAACGGCTAGACTACCGCTCCTCCTAGAACCGAATCTGGCCAGAATTGTTTGCAATCTCTAGTTCGCTCTTGCTCTGATTTGCTTAGTACTGTTATAAAATCATTAGACATTGGAATTTTGAGTCGACTAAAGTCTGCAGTTCTAGGATGGGGTCATGGGTCTGTTGGATGCATTTTCAAGTATTTGTGCCGTGGGCCAATTGCAGGTATCGAGCTGCTAGCAGAAAAAAACTTAACCGCAGTGACGTAATGATAAAGACAATGTAAACAGCATAAAGGCACAGTAACTGCGGCAATCATTTCTGGGCAGAAGACATCACCAACAAGGACGAGGGCGACTGGAATGTTCGTTTCTAGCTTATCAGCCATTAGTAGCCAGCAACGACCCCATGGCGCAGTAGTTAGATTTTGGGACTTTTACTAACAAGGTCGCGGGTTCGCAGCTCGGGGGTGCCGCAACCCCGTAGGGTTGGGCATGGCTGGCTGATGGCAGCTAATAAGTCATAAACGGTCATTTCAGTCTCCTTGGTAATTTTCGGCAATGTCTTCTGTCTACAATCTGCTAGTCGGTGAGCAACTGTTGGCGGGGCTCGAAAGGGACTCCAATGGGATGGGTGAGTCCCAATCGGTGAGCGCCTATCTACTATTGCAGTCATTTCTGGATAATTTACTCCTTCCAGCCAGCACCATTCCAACTTTCCATTTTCTTTTAGTGCCCTTCCTGCTCAACGTGTTTGCCATGCTTGGTTTGTGTCTCGGTCTTCTCTTCTGCCCGACTCCGTTTATAGTCAACTGGGCAAAGGTTCGTTTTTATTGTTACTCTATTTTTTTGTGAAAAAGACTACTTGTTATTTGCTGGTGATGCTTTTTTTCAGATATCAGTGTCAGGTCGAGGACTTTTATCATTAGGCACTGAATTATCGGCCTGCATTAATACTCTCAGCAGTTTTATTTTTTCTTTGGAAAAGTTTGCTTATCCAAAGTTTGCAAAAGTGTTCTGTTCACTGTGCAAGTGGAAAACTTGGCGGATGTCAGTCAGGAAACGAGCGTTGTTTTAGGTGTGGTCCGTGGTCTCGATAGCTCATACAAAATGCGTCTGTTAGCTCCTCGTATCCGTCACAGACTTGAATGGGAGATCAGTATGGCCAATCGGCAGGATCGAGGGATACGCAAACGCCGCAAAAGCTCTCTGGTCTCAGTGACCAAATGATACTCAATGCGAAAAAGACGACTCGATCGCTCGGACAATATTTTATTCGCCTGACGTTTCGATATCCGTCGCGGATTCGTCATCAGAGACATAGTCAGAGAGCAATAGCAGACCCTATCTGCTGATACTCAGTCCGTTTGGCTAGAAATCAAACGCCCTGACCTTGTAGCGGTGGAAGGTATAGGCGACTTGCAGTTCTATGAGTATGCGGTAGCACGGGCAAACCCAAACAATCTCTGACGGGCAGAACCGGCTTGGTCAGACAGAGCATGGAAATAAAGGGGCAGCACATAAATATATTTATGACATTTTGATCATCGAATTCATTGGAATCCGAGCCGGTGTAGTGGCACGCCTGTGCACTCTCCCGCCTCTAGTCTTCCTGACTTAGTCATGACATCGGGCCCCGGTGGAGGAGAGTGCAGTTGATTCAGCGAAGATCTACTCGTACGATAATCTTCTTCATGCACAAGTCATCGCGCTTGCTATCAGCCTGCTGCGAAGCACGCAGTGGACATCTTCGTACTCTACAGTCGAACTGTCGTACTAGCCGTTCGGAGTTCAATGAATTTTACGTGTTTAGTCCGCTGTGATCTACAGGAGGCGGCTCAAATATACGCTTTCAAATAGCCCGATTTACTCCAATTTACCGACTAATTTCTGAGGAAATTAAAATGCAGCGGCGGCGGCGGCAGCAGTAATAGCTCGTTTCTATCAGCAGTGTTTCTTGCCTACCAAGGGGGATTATTTAAAAATGCACACAGTTGGGCCTCGGGTGACGAGCGGTCCTATCTACGAGCATTTCAGGTAACGAGCGAATGTGTGTTTCGGCTGACGAGCTTCCACTCAGTTAACGAGTTGTCAGTGCGCGTGTGTCTGACGTAGCGTCTTGCTCCCACTGCGTGGGTCCTCGGTCGCCTGCAACCATTTAGTGAACTGAGACAGTTTGATTGGCTACGCTTCACATTACGATCTCGGTGCTGGAACGCGTTAACCGACGTTCGACTGTACAACTTACCATCTTGGTTACAATAGATCATAGGTAACACTACGCCCTTGTTTACTTTGCATAACTCACTACTTATTTCGTAGCGGTAGGCATGTTTTGTGTTACAACTTTGACGTCGGCTGTA